ATATGGTCTCTATCATTGCCCACCTGGCTCAAGAGACTTGCGCGGTTCAATCATAATTTCATCAGTTTTCAATATCACAATATTAGTCCTTTGAAGATTTGGCAGTATCAGCCTATCATGCATGTTATTGTGTGCATACTCACAACCAATTCACTATCCAACATGCTTTCTCACTTTAACATCATACACTTACCCTAGCACGCTTTCATGTAGCCTAACAAATTTGCTACTATGCACTTACTCACCTTCAATTCATTATTGATCGTGCAAATTCATATCGAATATCTTACACTTATACTACCATGCTTTTACATAACATAAACGTTAATAACATCACAGAAATCACACAACAACATTCTAGACATTCCATAGGAAGTCTATGAAACAAAGTTTACATGCACTGTAGAGGAAAAAAAAACATACTAGACTTACCTGAGTTGCTTAGCAATAATCCGAGCTTAATTCCTTTCGCATTCCTTGCTCGTTTTTCTCTCTACTATCCAAAATAAACAAATTATTTCTCATTACTTAAAATTTGACAATTAAGTCTAAAAAATTCCAAAATCAATTCTAATAGAAAGTAGATTCGTAGAGCTTTCCAACGAGTCACTACACGCCTAAATCTGGGCTCTCTAAGTGCCTCAAAAATAATTTCTAAGAATTAAAATTATGATATCTCCAAGTTAGTTGCCAACACTGCGGACCATTTTTCAAAGGTACAGTCGTCCGTTAAGTAGGGTCGTCCATTTAAGTGTGATCGTCCGTTTAAATAGGGTCGTCTGTTTAAGTATGATCGTCCGTTTAAGTAGGATCACCTGTTTAAAAAAATAATATAAAGTAAATATAGAAAGTAAAAAATGGGATAATTTTTTTTTTTTTTATGTTTCGCCCTTCATAAAAAAATGGGAAAACAGTAAATATAGAAAGCAAAAAAAAAAAAAAAAAAAGCAGTTTGACTTAATTTATGATTGAGAAAGTTCTTATATTGAATTCTGGCAAAGGTCACACATCGGTTTATATTTGGATTATTTGCATTGATTTGCCAATATATGATCAATTCCTTTTTTTAAAAAAAATATATGGCAATTATTCTTGTTAATTTGATTTATTTTAGTTCTCGTGACAGATGAGACATCAATTTTGAAACAAGTCGCTCGTCAGTTGTAGGTTCTTACGTGCGAAACTTGGCTTGTTGGTTCTTACGTGTTTTTATCATAAAAAATGATGATTCTTCTATCACGTGTTTCCAGCTGTCTTCAAAAAAATCCACTAATACGTCCAAATCGATTAATTCAAATCAAATTATACTTCTCCAAATCACTCATCATCAGCATCAAGAAAACAAAATTAAATTAAGACCGTTGATTTCATCGATTTAAATTTAATATTTAAGTTTTATTATAGTAAAAAGTTCTCAGAAACAGTTATATTTAACTTTTTTACAATAGTAAAAAGTTTTCACATAAAATCACATCTCAACTCGAATTAAAAACTCGAATCAGCGACGTAAACGGATCCTAAAGAATCAACGGCTGTGTTTAGAATTGATCTCGTTTTTGTTATTCACATTTTTCAAGAAAGAAAAAATGAAAATATTTTTAAAACTGCGTTTGGCGTGATAAAGATAAAAACGGAAATGAAAATAATTTTTTGATTTAGTGTAAGAGAGAAATGAAAAACGACTTTTAGTCATTTTTTATTTTTTATTTTCGTTTTCTCCTCTCTCGAGCAGAGAGAGAAAGAGAGACATTAATGAGTTTTTTTACACTAAAAATAATCTCTTGATAAAACTACTAAGCGTATTTTTAAAAATAATTTATATCTGAAATTGAAATATTTTCATTTTTATTTTCATATAAAAAATAAAATTATTTTAGAATGAGTTTTAAACGTACCCAACATATACAACTAAGACTTAACTTATCATGGAATGAAATCCTAACCTCCGCCCATCCAGCCGCCAACGTTTTCTCTCTGCAGCACTGGCCTACTCGCTATATCGTCACTGTCACATCGCCTCTCTTCGTCACCGGCCCAACTAAACATGACTTCGATTAAGGATATCAATACGAGCAGAGGTTTACCAACACCAATGGAAAGCTTTAATTCAAGTTTAAAATTTAATTGTGTTGTCTTTATATTATCTAGTTGTATTTTTGACCTTTTAGTCTGATTATTATTGGTGAACTTTGATATGTGTTATTGTGACTTTTTAATTTGGTTTTTAGTTTGTATTAAAACTTTAAAGTGTAAACTTTTAGACATTTTATAATTTTTGTTAAATATTTAAAAGAATTAATTTTAAGCACAAACCACGTAAATCACTTTTGAGTGATTTGGCTTGGTTTAGTTTTATAAAAAAAAAAAGATCAAACCATTTAAACCGCCCAAAAATAAAGTTTATTTTTAATTTGGTCAGTAATTTAAAAAAAAATGTTTAAATCGGTTGGAAAAATTTCAGGGTAATTTAGTATGAGGATTCGTACCATAATTTGAATAATGATTCGTGATTTATTATAGTATTTTCTCTTATAAAAAATACACATAAATTAATAATGATTCTGAATCACGATTCTAATTTTTTGTCCTAATATATTTATTTTTGCTGCCAGTGATTACTGACTGTGTAATATAAAGAAAAAGGCCAAGGTCATTTTAAACGTGACCAGATGGTTGGCAGTTGACACCAACCTTCCATCATATTTACTTAGACTATGTATGTAATGTAAAGAAAAAGTCCATGTTCATGTTTAAAACGTGAAGCAATTCTTTTTAATCTGTGGAGTTATAACCATATTGCTAATAAAACAATAAGATCTAATTTTAAAAATATATTATATACTAAATTGGGTGCATAACGAGGAATATATCCTACGGGATAGACATGAAAAAGATCTTTTCCTAAACTTGCCCGTGATTAACGACTATGTAAAGAAAAAGGACAAGGTCATATTTAAACGTGACCCAGTTGGCACCTACCTTCCATCATCTTTCAAGTACGTACTTTCCAATTATAATCTTCGTATGTAGAGATAGTAATTCGTATCACGTATCATATTCGTATAGTATTTTAATCATTTCTTTTTAAATTTATAGTCAATTCAGACACGACTTGTGACACAAATATTTTTTTACTTTACATGTTGACACGACACGACACGAAAATTATCCGTGACACGAAATTAAACTGTGAACTTAAAATTAACACGAAAATTATGTACTTTTCTTTAACTTTTTGCATATAAAAAATAACTTAAAATCCATAACACGTTAAAATACAATAACATCTATCAAAATTAAACAAATAATAGTATAAGATTTTAAATATAATCATCACGATATCATAAGTTCATAATAAAATCTAAAATATGTAATGAAAAATATATATTTTAGTTTTTATAAATTTCGTGTCGTGTTCAGGTTAGGCGGGTTTAACCCAAAATTGATCCGTATTTTTCGTATCAATTTCAAGTCGACCCAATTATAACCAAAACCTCTGGTTTTTTACTAACTAAAAATTTATTAGCTAAAAAATTATTACTAGGATTAAGGTGAGGTCAAGCTTAATCTCAAGGCCAGGATCGTCGACGGGGATTAGACTTTGGGAAGGAATTGGGTCGAGGCCAATTCTAATAAAATGGAGAACAACGAATAATCCATAATTGTTCTTCTTTACTCTTGAAAGGTCTGATTTTTAGGCAAGTATTACAAAGAGTAATACAACACTTTTAACAACATCTATAATTAATGATCAAAATCTGAGTTGATCAATGAACGGTAAAAAAAAATGTGCTGGAATACAAATAATGCAGGAGAAAACTAAAGAATACCATAAAATAATATCGTAGTTCGGTGCACATATCTATATCTGTGGAGCCACGCCCAGATAGTTAACAATTCACTAAGATTGAAATATTACAAAACACCAAACCGGTCTTACACACTCAAGAACTCCCTTCTTGATGTTCTCGCCGCTATGGAGTATCCTCTTAGTGGTCTTGTTTAGCGAGTACCACTCGTCTTTGAGAACTTTATCCCGAAAGCACTACGTCCTCCTCCCGAAGAACCGCTTTTTCTATTTTTTACTCCAAGAACATCAAGGCAGCTCTTTCTGCAGAATATTTTCACACTCAAAACTCAATTTCAAAGATTTTTTCTGAAAAATATACCTCTAAAACTCATGCCCCAAAATATGGCATTGAATTGCTTTTAAAACCATAAAACACAAAAGCTCACTTTTTTCTCATCCAAGGCACACCTTTACGGACACACACATATGAATATATAGCAAGAGTACTCTACTTTCCATTTCTACCACCTCATCACCTTTATATCACAAAGCTCTTAATGGTAATGATGATCAAATATCAACTACATCCATTTCTCCCCCAAAAATACCCTAAACGAGGCAACCTTTCATTCACAGATTCTTTTCATACACACCAAATCAATTAGCCATCAAAAGTCAATCAAATTAGCTCCATAAACTTATTTTCTTTTATTGAAGAAATCATCCCAAATTACTATTCTAAACCCAATGCATGATATTAAAATTATTTTCGATTTACGTGTATTTTTTGTGAGAAAAAATACTATAGCGAACCACGACTCATGATTCGAATCGGGATACAAATTCCCCAACCAAACAACTCGTTAATGATTTTGTTTTTGAATTTACAACTTTTTACCAACAAATTTACTAACTAACAACTCTTTTCATCCATAAATTGATGGATTGAACTACATAGTTCTTCATTCATTTGTTCTGCATTTTTTTGTCTTTATTTGGATATACTCATGTACTTTAATTAATACATACATACATACATATATATACGATTCGATCTGTCAATTATTTAGTTTCGTTGTCCACCGAGTAGGGACCACATATTGGATGCATGATCCGTTCGGTCCCAGTTCACACAACTGTGAAAAAAGACGATCCCTCTTATCATTTGCATTATATAAAGCCCTTGGGATAATCACACCTCCTCAACTCACTCAAGCCTTGTTTCTTAATTTCTCTCCTTCCAGACCATTTCTCACTTCTCAGCCATGGCTTCCTTCGCCATCCCCATTCAGTGTAGTGCTCCATCCCTTCCACGCATGGCCACCAAAACTCGGTGTAGTGTTCCATCGCGTGGACGCGTGGCCACCAAAATTCGCTGTAGTGTTCCATCCCTTCCACGCGTGACCACCAATGTATGTGACTCTATATTACTAAGTATAGGCAGTAATTCGTTCCTCTTTTTACCAAAATAATCTTTTTACTGTTTCTTACTTGTTTTCTTTTTTCTTTTTTTTTTCGTTTTTTTTTTTTTTTTTTTTTTTTTTTTTTAATAAGTCAAGCATTAAAGTTCAGAAGTTGTGAACGTTGAATTGCTTTGAATTAATGTCAATGGATGCTAAAACACTTCATTTTGAGTTTTGCTGAAGCTAGTTTGTCATAATTGATTGCATTGTAACAAATTGGATTTTATTGAAGCATCTTATGTTGTCATAAATTAATCTTAATTTCTAATATTGAAAAAAAAAAAATGGGCCAGGTCAGGAGGGTTCCTGTTGCTCCTTTAAAGCTGGAAGATGACAGGAGGCCTCCCACAAATCTATACACGGCTGAGGCACCTCATACAGCTACCATTCTTTCTGTCGAAAAGATTTCGGGTCCGGAAGCTGCTAATGAAACTTACAATATCGTGTTTGATCATGGTGGTCTTTTGCCCCACTGGGAGGGACAAGTTTTTGGTGCATTGCCCGCGGTAAGTTACCCAATATTATGTCATTTTGCCCATGTCCATCCACGTTGTATTATTACAATACTATGTTTGGTTTTACATATACAATGATGCCGTATTAGATTACGCTACTTTAGCCACTAGTTCTTAACTTTTCGTGCAGTTAGTTCCTAACTTTTCGTGCAGTTTGATAGTGCTGTAAATTTTTAAAAAAATGTTTTTAGCAGTGCTGAAGAAAAAAAAAAAGTAGTTGAGTATTTTGTAAAGTATAATTACATAAGTACTATTGATTTTAAAAATAGTGTAATAACGTTTAATAAATTGTGAGGTTCAATTATTATGTGTAGTTAAGATGACTAAAATAAACATGGTATAAAATTTAAATATATTAATATAATACGCTACTTTAGCAACTAGTTCTTAACTTTTCGTCCAGTTTCATAGTGTTTTAAATTTTAGAAAAATTATTTTTAGCAGTGTTTAAAGAAAAAACAGCTGAGTGTTTGATAAACTGTAATTATACAAGTATTACTGGTTCTAAAAATAATTTAATAACGTTTGATAAATTGTGAGGTTGAATTGTTGTGGGTAGTTAAAATGACTAAAATAGACAAATTTAAATATATTAATATAATACAATAGTACTAATATTAAATAATAACAACAATATAAGTATTCATAATATACTAATATAAAAATATAATTATAATTTAGTATAATATTATTAATATTATATTAGTATATTTATTAATATTGTTGCCGTTGTTATCAAAATATTATTATTTACTATTAATATATTATTATATTAGATTTCACTCGGGATATTATGAGTATTATGTTGATTCCTGCACAATCTAAAAATTAAAATTATCTTTGAGCTATTTTTGATTTTGGTAGTAGATTCTTCAAAAATTCTTTAAAAATCACTTTTTATAATTTTTATCAAGTACCATTATCAACTTCTGATAGTTAGAGAAGTGATTCTAACCTCCAAGAATCACTATCAGAGGCAGACTTTCAACGTTATAATAATATGTACAATTGTGTATGTGTATGAAAAAAAAAAGAGTTTAACGAAGAAAAATAGTTTATATATATATATATATATATATCTTCTGTACTGAAATTCAAGTCTGATCGTATTGTTTTTTACATTGAATTAGTACCTGTAGTTTTTATTGCTAATATTCTCATTTTGCTTTGTTCACAGCCGAGCGAAAATCCTTTCGAACCAGGAGATGCCACAAAGCTTAGTTACTTTTCTGGTGCTTCTTCAAGGTATGGAGATTATTTTAATGATAGAACAGCTACCTTATGTGTGCGCCTTGTCCCTGGTACCACCAGCGAGCTCTTGTGCAATTCCAAACCTGGAGATAAATTTCAATTTACAGGTAATTTCAATTTACAATTAAAACCTGATTTTTGTCATTAATGCATGCATGCATGCATGAATGTATGCATGTATATATGTTTATTTTTGGTGATAGTGATACATATACAAGCCATGCTCATATGCATGCAGGCCCCGTTCGCGAGGCAATGCTTTTGGGTGATTTTAGCCCGAACGCTACTCACATATTTGTGGCTACTGGGACTGGCGTTGCTCCGTTTAGAGCTCATCTCCGTCGTTTCTTCAAAGAAGATATTCCAACATTCAGATTCTCTGGACTTGCTTGGCTATTCCATGGGGTTGTCAATTCCGATAGTCAACTCTACGGCGAGGAATTCGAGCAATATCTGAAGGACAACCCAGAAAACTTCCGCTACGACGTCGCATTCAGCAGAGTCCAGCAAAAGAAGTACGTCCAGGACGCTGTTGCGGATAAAGCTGATGAAGTATTTGATCTCTTGCTTAACGGAGCTTACATTTATTTAGCTGGTCTCCAGGGCATGGTGAGTCCAATTGAAGAAGCCTTAAAGATAGTTGCCGAGAAGAAGCAACTGGATTGGGAAGCTGTACTAGCAGCATTGAAGGCGAACAACCAATGGCGCGTTGAAGTCTACTGATCATGTCGTTGGACTCGTGTGTGATAAATGTATGCATTGATCATGTGTGCGTGCTCTCTCTTCTTTCTTCCCATTCTGTCACTAAAGACGGAAATAAAAAGTAACTTGAGTTGTAGCTTTCATCTTTGTTGTTGAATAATGAAGAGAGTAATAAAATTGATCATCATGTTTTCATCCTTATGATATGAATTATTTTTAATATATGTTAGCTGCGTACGTAGAGCAAAATATCATATTCTAAAGCAATATGTGATATTAGACTAGGTGAATAATAAAAATATTACACCAAACAACAATTACGTATTAAGCCTAGAGAAAAAAGAAAAATCCTACAACCAAGATCGTCTCATGCAATATATAGCATAAAGTCAAAGCGAACAAAAATCAAATTAATTCTCTCCGTGGTGGTATTTTCCGCACCTACAGAGGTTTTTGCAAAGTTTGTTTTGCTAAACGAATATAGGCCTTCTTTTTACCTTTCAAGCTAAGTCAACGGAATTATAACAGCTATTGAATATGCGAGTAATTATAATTGAGATTATCTCTGGTTCGAGTGCAACTCTACTTATGTTGTGGATTTGCTCAACTCTAAAAAAGGTGGATTCCTTGGAGGTTTATTTCAAGATGGGATCGTGCGATTAATATTTAAATATATAAAGTCATTTACTGAGCTTCTCATAATTTTCGAAGTGGAAATTGCGTCACAAACAGGCTTACATTCTATGCTACTTTGTTGGAAGCTGATTCATGGTGGTTTAACACGCCTTCTTTTTTGCTTAAGGATAGTCGTCAGAGACATGGAGGGTTTACCATATTATAGATTTTATTAAATGTTGACTTTCAAGTAAAGTAAATATAGATTTTATAATGTTGAAATCGATGTAATTAACATTTTAATGGGCTAATGTTTCTTGAAAAGGAGCAAAGAAGGGAGCTTGAAGACACCTTGGAGCTCCACATTAGTTTACTTCTTTACCATATCTTTTCTTGAATTTCTTGTAAATTGCCATGGAATCCTTGTTCATATTTTCTCCACCCAAAATTTCATGCAAATGGAACCACATAAGCTAAGCCTCACTTTTACTCTATTATTCTTCCTTCTCCACACCAAAACCGGATTCACTACAATTCAATGCCTCTAAAATTTTCTCCACCCTCCCTCACCAAACCGACCATTCTTCTAGTCCACACACACTAAAAAGTTTCCATATATCTCACTATAAATCTTAACTTAAGTGGAGGAGCAGAGGAGGATCTCAAAGGTTTTCAAGAGAGAGTTCTTCAAGGGTAATTTCTTGAACTCTTTTCCATTATTTTTCTAGCCAACTTTAAGCTTGAAATTATGAATGTAATTTGTGGTCCTTTGAGGCTATGGTTTGTAATAAGGGTGTGTGAGTTTTATGGTTTGTAATAAGGGTGTGTGAGTTTTAAGTTAGTTTTGGGAGTTTTGAGGTTAGTTTGATTAGCATTATGTAGTATGTTTATTGTTGGTTTAAGTTTGCCTATTTTGGGGTTAGAGGTAAAATTTTCTGGTTATTTTGAATGCAAAAATGAGGACCCTAGAGGGGAATTTTTCAGTGTTTCAAAGCTTGGTTTTTAACAAAAGGTTATCAAAGAACCCGAGATGTGATTTCAGTAAAATACTATAGTGTTAAGCCTCGTTTTAACGGAAATATTCGTAAAGAAAGTTCTTAAGAAAAATAGGTTGTTTTAAAAAAAAACTTAATAGTTTTTCGAGCAAAACATCCCGACGGGCACCTACGAGCGTATCTTTTCTTGAATTTCTTGTAAATTGCCATGGAATCCTTGTTCATATTTTCTCCACCCAAAATTTCATGTAAATGGAACCACCATAAGCTAAGCCTCACTTTTACTCTATTATTCTTCCTTCTCCACACCAAAACCGGATTCACTACAATTCCATGCCTCTAAAATTTTCTCCACCCTCCCTCACCAAACCGACCATTCTTCTAGTCCACACACACTAAAAAGTTTCCATATATCTCACTATAAATCTTAACTTAAGTGGAGGAGCAGAGGAGGATCTCAAAGGTTTTCAAGAGAGAGTTCTTCAAGGGTAATTTCTTGAACTCTTTTCCATTATTTTTCTAGCCAACTTTAAGCTTGAAATTATGAATGTAATTTGTGGTCCTTTGAGGCTATAGTTTGTAATAAGGGTGTGTGAGTTTTAAGTTAGTTTTGGGAGTTTTGAGGTTAGTTTGATTAGCATTATGTAGTATGTTTATTGTTGGTTTAAGTTTGCCTATTTTGGGGTTAGAGGTAAAATTTTCTGGTTATTTTGAATGCAAAAATGAGGACCCTAGAGTGGAATTTTTCAGTGTTTCAAAGCTTGGTTTTTAACAAAAGGTTATCAAAGAACCCGAGATGTGATTTCAGTAAAATACTATAGTGTTAAGCCTCGTTTTAACGGAAATATTCGTAAAGAAAGTTCTCAAGAAAAATAGGTTGTTTTAAAAAAAACTTAATAGGTTTTCGAGCAAAACATCCCGACGGACACCTACGAGCCCAATATGTTAGGTATTTAGAATTTCAAAGATTGAATGTGGGTCCAACGCCTGCATTAATTCAAGAGACCCCGCTTAAGTCTAAATATCAACGGTCTAAGAGTTAGAATGCCGTTACTAAGTCTCTAGGCCAAATTGGGCCTTGGTGATAGAACAAGTTCAATAAGGTAAATTATGGAGAATAAGTCACTAGATTGGATAATTGATTTCAATCTAGACATAAGTATGTTAAGGACAATTAAGGAAAATAAGATTATTAATTCAAGAGACCCCGCTTAAGTCTAAATATCAACGGTCTAAGAGTTAGAATGCCGTTACTAAGTCTCTAGGCCAAATTGGGCCTTGGTGATAGAACAAGTTCAATAAGGTAAATTATGGAGAATAAGTCACTAGATTGGATAATTGATTTCAATCTAGACATAAGTATGTTAAGGACAATTAAGGAAAATAAGATTTTGAGGATTTAATAAACTTATCCTTATAGTAAATTATCCTTCAGTAAAGGAAAGGAATACATGCCTTGAGTAAAGGGCTAGATTTCCTTCATAAGCTGCTAAAATAGAGTAGCAAAGGACAGATAATCTCACACTCTCAATGGGTGTTCATTTTCAGAAGTAAGCAAGTAAGAGAATAGGCTGTTTGGCGAAAAGTGGATTCCAGCTCTGTAAATCAAGTAAGTAGGAATCTCGCCTACAATATGAATAGATTTAAAAAAAAAAAAGTTACACATGTTATATATGCATATTTATGCTTTAAGTATTTTATGCGATGCTATGTCATGTTGCATACACTTAAGCAGTGCACACGAATTATATGTGTTTGAGTACATTTAATGTTATGTATGCTATACTAGGTCATACTGCATACACTTAAGTAGTGCACACGAATTATATGTGTTTGAGTACATTCCATGTTATAGTATGCTATGCTATGTCATATTGCATACACCTTAATAAGTCAAGAAGAACTTATAAGAATAATCTTAGTTGAGTGTTGTACCAGCCTCTGAGAGGGAGGTAACTCAGGCTCCGCAAGGGAGAAGAAAAAAAATATAGTAATGTCCTCTGAGAGAGAGGCATTCAGTTCAGTTATAATCACGGTGTCATGGGGGACCTTACAAACCCTCACGTCCCGATGATTGAACGCAAGTGGTACGAGCACTCGGGCCCATCAGTAAGAAAGATAAGATAATAAGACTATGATAAGACATCATAATTAAGCATAATTAGCTAATGCATATTTATTCATGTGTAGTTATAGTTATTTTGCGAGAGATAGTTCCTACTTGCTGAGCGAAAGCTCAATCAGATATGTTCATGCTATAGGTAAGAAACCTATCAACAATTCTTGAAGGGCAATGGCGAGCGGCGAACGAATGGGGAGATGGGAATGGATACCGCTCGCAAATATTTCCGCAATCAGTTTTACGTTATACATAGTTTTTCTAATTATGATTCGAAAACTATATGTTAAATGGTTTTGTGGATTATGGTTGTTAGTGATTAAACTTACAGAGTAAGTATATATATCCATATGCTTTGATAAACAGATATGTTAAGATTTGAATATTTGATCAAGAAAGCAATTAGTAACATATGTCGTATTAGTAAGTTTTTTCTAAAAAGAATGCTACAACATTCCTTCAGCATTTTAAAAAGAATGCTACGACATTGCTACAACATTTAAAAAAAATGCTACGGCATTCCGACAACATTTTAACATGCTGCAACATTCTAAGTAGCATTTATCAAAAAAAAAAAAAAATGTTTCACAAATTTTAAGAAATCCCAGTAAGCACAAGTTAAATTCAACTACAGTGGCGGCCTCCTAGGAGGGGCGTCACAGTATTAGACTAGGTGAATAATAAAAATATTACACTAAACAACAATTACGTATTAAGCCTAGAGAAAAAAAAAATCCTACAACCAAGATCGTCTCATGCAATATATATAGCATAAAGTCAAAGCAAACAACAATCAAATTAATTCTCTCCGTGGTGGTATTTTCCGTACCTACAGAGGTTTTTGCAAAGTTTGTTTTGCTAAACGAATATAGGGATTCTTTTTACCTTTGAAGCTAAGTCAACGGAATTATAACAGCTATTAAATATGCCAATAATTATAATTGAGATTATCTCTGGTTCGATTGCGACTGTACTTATGTTGTGGATTTGCTCAAGTCTACGAATGTGTTGATAAGTAACTCACAAATACTATAAATTAAGACAAATCCAAAAGAGATTCGAGATGTTAAGAATCTCATTTGGATATAGGTATAATAACTAATGCAATGAGTTTAGATGTAAGTAGCAGTTTAAGTGATAAGAAAAGAACACCGAAGGTCATGGACATATTGAGGGAGGTTGTTCTAGGTTAGTTTCTAACCAAACCAATCCATTTACAACAACCTAAAGAGGAGATATTCTCACCCTATTTATGATTGAAGAATACAGTTATGGATTTGTTTAAAATATGCTAAAAGAATTAAGATTGCATTAGGTAAAGATGATAAATGTAAAAGTTGCCTTTACGGTGAAAGTATCAATTGACAGAAAATAAGTCATCCCACAATATAGTAGGCAACTAAGGTATGACAATACACTATCATAAACTTATCCATTAGAAAATCATGGATTAGATGTGCTAGGTTGAACGA